GACTTATTTCTCATCTACTTATAAACCTAGTAAACATGAGTCTAGTTTTCCGAGTCTTTTAATTTTCATGAAAAAATATAAAATCTCATAGATATGCAATTGAAAATGAGATATTGTAGCAGGATATGTTATCCGACAATTCCGCGTTAAATGGTGGCCCAAGTTCCAGCATCAACGCATTATTGAACAGGTACAACAGGAATTCCCAATAAAGGTTCCTACTCCAGTCATGGTTACAGGAACAACCAGTCATGCTCCTGCAACTCCAGTAAAACAAGTTATGTCATCCCTCAAGATTTCTGCCCCAGTAGAATCCTCGGCATAACCATCCATAGTAAAGCAGAAAAAAATCCTCCTCAAAGGATTTCAGCAAGCAATCCAAGAAGAAGTCCATTGCACTCATTGAATTAGCACAAAAACTTTTTCAACAAGTAGTTAGTAAAAGTAGTTCGTCTGCATCATCCCAGGCCTTAGTCACACCTTTCTTGGATCCATTTCAAGATAGCCAGGATCTTTTTGCAGGATATGATGACTTAGCCGACATCACTACCCCATAATTTTTATTCTTACATGTGATAGCTTCAATCACTACTCTCGAAAGAGGGAAAAGTTGTCTATCACTTGTAATGGTATTATATCATATAATAAAGTTAGACTCTTTCTCCAGAAAAGCAGCCACCTATTAGCATCCAATCTGTTTTCCCCACCAAAAGTAGATTCTTCAGCCAGCAGCAGGGGCTCACACTTGCATTAGTCAAAAGTTACCAAAGTGAAACGCTTTTTACTCCTACTTTCCACCAAAAGTTAAAGTGAAAATATTTCACCTTAGTAAAAGCAACAAAGGGAAATCATTCCAAGATTCCCTCAGAAGGCTCCTCACTCTTATATAAGGGCTTCAGTCTTCACCAGCAACACAAGCTTTCGCTCCAGCAAAAACACATTATAAGCCAGTATACACTAGGCGTCCCTTCTCTTATATTGTATCCCTGATCTTCATAATGATGCAAATAAAGAAGCAGACCCCTATCCTTAGTCACAAACTTCCACTAATCTACTAGTACTAGTGTTGTAAGTATTTTATTTTCTATATTGTAATTTATATTTTGTTTATAAGAATTTTCCAATAGTCAAATTCATCACCACTCTTTATCTCTACAGCTTGTGATTCTCCTCATGTCTTGTTATTTCACACTTGTTATATTTTGGTATCATATATATATATATATATATATATACCCATATTTGAAAATCTAAAATTGTTCTACTTGTTTCTAAAATTTTCAAAAAAAAACCCTGAAAACAAGCTACACTTGTTTTCTGTTTCTTTGACTTAAATCTCATTTTTTTTTTAAATTTAGAGAACAAAAATGCTAAACAAACAAGGTTCGGATGTTTTTGAAATTTTAAGAACAAAAAATTATTTTCGGATCACAAACCAAACATGGTCTTGGACAAATCCAACGGATCCTTTGTCGAACCAACAAGGACTGAACCACCAGTATCACAACCAACCCCTCCCAGAGTGACACGTGGCATAACAAACTTAACACTAGAGTCAGGAATCAAGCCAACGAAGATAGTGGAATGAAAAGGGAAAGGGCAAGCAGTGATACAATCGGATATTCTCAACGAAGATAGTGGAATGAAAAGGGGAAGGGCAAGCAGTGATACAATCGGATATTCTCAATTCCAATTCTCCACCAATACTGGAGGTGACACGTGGAAATCTGCAAAGTGAACAAGAATTGATGGATGGCCTGGCTAAAGCCCAAGTATACTATGTCACCGAGTTATTAGAAAGTCCACCACAAACCCAAATCCATCTAGGCCGAACCATTCAGGCCCAATATGTTGTTTGCAATCCTAACTCCCTGCTGGGTCTAATTCAGCTCATCATGATTGGGACCACAATTTTAGAAGATGGAGATATAAGATAGGGCTCTATTCTAGAGACTACCTTTCAGAAGATGACCCTTAAATGGATGAAGACCCAATGACCCAGCAAACAACCTCTAAGAAGATGAGAGGAGAATCCATAGAGGAGCTACATTTGCAGATTCTCCCCACCCATTCCCTAGTACTTTCACAATAATTCAATCCAAGTGGCCATCAGGAGGTAGGAGGTACTTCAGTAACAAGATATCACCGCGTTCAAAGACCAGGAAGAAGAGAACATCACAAGAAAAGTGCAATAATCAAATGGATCTGTACAATCTGTTCAGTGTAGAAATCCAACAAGCTGCAAATATACAAGGTACGTGTATGGTCTCATCTGAAGAGAATGGGGAAAACAATATGGATTTAAGTATGACTCAGTGGATATCACATGTATCAAGCTCATATCCAGAGGACAATTACAACAACCAATCTGAGAGGGCGTGGGTGGCTGGCCCCAAACTGCCACAAGACCTATGTTAATGATCTCCTAGAACTGTCAACGAGTGGGACAATCCCGGACAATTTGAACCTTGCGAGCTAACCCATCGCCCCATGTTAGTATTCTTTTGATGGAGACTATGAATAAACAGATGAAGATCATTCAATTTCACCGGTAACATATATGTTAAGCCCATTGGCAAAACAGGGGCCTGACCTATGGTGGACTAGTGAAGTCCAAGTACGAGAGGACTTCAACCACAAGAACATAATCAACACATTATGTACTATTACACAGCCCCCATTGGCGTGGCAATCCACCTTTATTTATGTAGACACAGATGAGGTCGAAGACAAAGATTATAGGTGTCGCTTAAGAGCGTTGTCCCAAGATCAAAATCAGGCATGGGTAGTTACAGGAGACTTCAATTTAATTGGATCCATTTGGGATAAACAAGGGGGGATAAGTAAAAGCCCGAGAAAGATGGAGGAATTACATAGACTAATTTTGGATTGCCATCTCATGGAAATGGACTTCAAATGGCCTACCTACACCTGGTCAAAAAACAAACCATGGAAAGCCAATGTGCAAGAAAAATTGAACAGGGTGTTCGTGAATCCAGTTTGGAGAAGATGCTTCCAATATGTCCAAGAGATTCATGGAGCATGTATGGGCTTTGATCATAGCCTAATAGTTATCAAGCTTGGACTAGATCCACACAGGATCGTTTCCTACCCAGCCTTAATACCCTAAATCAGGCGGCTTTTGTGCACCACATACTTATCCAAGATAGCATTGTCATTGCTGATGAAACTCTCCATTACCTTACAGTGAAGAAAAAAGGGGAAACGGTGGATATGTCAGGTTGAACTTTAATAAGGCTTATGTTTGCGTAGAGTGGGACTTTTTAATGGAAGTTATGCTAACAATGGGCTTCGATCAAAGATGGGTTTATTTGGTGTACCAATGCGTATCTACAGTCTCCTTTGAAGTGGTTATCAATGGAGAACCAACATGCGAAGTTAAACCCCAAAGAGGATTGACGCAAGGTGACCCATTGTCGCCATAACTCTTCCTTCTAACTACAGATGTTCTATCAAGGATGGTTCACAAGACCACGGTTGAAGGGTAGCCCTTAGAAATCCGAATTAGAAGGAGAAGCTCTTTGCTGTCTCACCTCTTTTTCGCTAACAATTCTTTAATCTTTTTGCAGGCAGAGGAAATGGAAGGACGTAAACTTATGGAGGTCATTACAAAATTCAATATTGCTTCAGGTCAGCTGATCAATCTAGCAAAATCTGGTATTTTCTCAAGCAATACACCAGTAGAGCAATGAGCCCTCATATATCAATCACTAAGCATGGATGCCTTACCGGGTTGAACCAAATATCTGGGTATACCAGCATTTTGGGGAAGATAAAAAACAGAGACATTCAATTATCTAATTGAAAGAGTTGTGAAGAAAATCCAAGGTTGAAAAGAGCTCTTCCTTTCCCAAGCAGGTAAAGAAATCATAATTAAAGTAATACAATGAATACTGACTTATGCAATGTCCTGTGTTGCCTTTCCAAAAAAATTGTGACAAGCTGGACTAATATGTGAGGCAATTATGGTGGGGGGGGGGGGGGGGGGGCTAGGGCTATATATACGCACACACAAACAGAGAACGAAGGTCTCTCACAATCTAAACATGTACCAACGTCGAGCAGCACAATACTAACGCCTGCGATTGTTACTCTGCTTTATGTAGCAATGAATTTTTGTGCTTTATTTTGTTTAAATGGATATCACATTGTTTATGATCCAGTAGAATTTGAGCTTCAAATTGTATGATTTTGAATTTGGGAAGTGATGCTAAGATCTGAACACCTTCATAGGCTCAGCATTCTGTGCCCTGCTGAATATATTTTTGCACGTCAGTCTGATCCCAAACTCAGATTTTTTGGTGTTTATCTTTTTTGCTCTTTTGCATTGTTAGCAAAGGATGATTGAATTCCATTTCACATTGTTGATAGTATTTTATACTTTGAACTTGAAACTGTATGTTTTCGAGTTTGGGAAGTGATGAGAAGAGCGGAACAACTTCATGGGCTCAGTGTTCTGTGCCCCTGCTGAATATGTTTTGCACGTCAGTCTGATCCCAAACTCATATTTTGAGGTGTTTATCTCCTGATAATGTTTCTCTTTTTTANGGGGGCTAGGGACTGAGAAAGAAAGATCCACTGGAAGAGTTGGGAGGAAATGACTATGGCATAGGCAATAAGAGGCATGGGTTTTTGTGATTTCTAGTGCTTTAACCAAGCTCTATTAGCCAAACAATGTTGGAGGATGGTAACTAATCCACATTCATATTGGGCTAGAGTTTTGAAATCTATTTACTTTCCTAACACAGGCTTCATGCAGGCCAAGCATCGGTCAAACCCACTTGGATTTGGACCAGTTTATTAATTGGGAGAGATCTTCTTCGCAAAGGACTAAGGTGGCAAGTGCATTATGGAGAGAGCATCAAATTCTGAGAAGACACATGGATTCCCACAATGCCTGAATTTTCAATTGCAACACCAAAACGAGAGGGCTGCAATATTGATCTGGTTAGCCATGTTATCAATAACAGGACTAGGGAATGGAGACTAGATACTGTGAAGACACATGGATTCCCACAATGCCTGAATTTTCAATTGCAACACCAAAACGAGAGGGCTGCAATATTGATCTGGTTAGCCATGTTATCAATAACAGGACTAGGGAATGGAGACTAGATACTGTGAAGACACATGGATTCCCACAATGCCTGAATTTTCAATTGCAACACCAAAACGAGAGGGCTGCAATATTGATCTGGTTAGCCATGTTATCAATAACAGGACTAGGGAATGGAGACTAGATACATTCAAGAGCTTGTCTCACAACTGAAACTAAAGGCAATCATGTCCATCCCCATTGGCAAGCTGAAAGGAGAAGACAGGAAAATATGGGCTCCAAATCAGAGATAAAATTACCAGGTCAAATCAAACTATTATTTGGCAAAGAAGGGAAAAGGAAAAGAGCTACAAAGAAAGAGGGGATATCTTCCCATCCCCATTCCAAAACTATGGCAGATGATATGGAAATTGGATATAATCCCAAAGGCGAGGCATTTCTGGTGGAGAACGTGCTCCAATGCTTTAGCAATGCATCTCCCTCATGCAAAATTGCAAATCCATCGAGGAATCTGTAGGACATATGTTGTTAGGATGCAGTAGGACCCATAAGGTATGATTTTGGTGTAGACCTTGGGCTCAGGGGGCCGAGGAAATACAAAATTCAGTTAAGTCTTAGACTTTATCCTTTTTAGAGTCATTAGATAATATGAAACAGTCCACCCAGATCATTAGTAAAGGCGCACCGATAGGTTGGATCATTTGGAAGATGAGAAATGAGGCCATCTTTAATGCCCAAGAACCTAACCCCCTAGTAGCAGTATGTCAAGCTCAGAGCCAGTGGAGAGAATTTTACGCATCTTGAAGGATGGAGACCCAAGTGTTACCAAAACCAACTAGGAGTGGCTGATCATCCACCAACCTAGTTGGCCCCAATTCGAGATCAATTAAAGCTGAATTGTGACAGAGCATACGACAATCTAAAAAACAAAGCAACAATGGGGGTTGTTATCAGAGAGGAGAGGGGAACAATCATAGATGGGAAAACAAAGGTTATTCAACCAATGTCTAGTCGTTGATCAGAGGCTGCAGCTGTGAGGGAGGCAAGTCTGATAGCCTATACTATGCAATTGAACAATGTAGTAATCGAGAGCAACAACAAAGAAGTTATCCTGCTAAGCATCAATAAGGATGATCCACCGTAGGATATAGCAACATTTGTGTAGGACATCAGGAACTGTGCAAAAACTTTAAACCTCCAATTCCTCCATACACCAGGAGCAAACAAGAAGGCAGCACACTTGCTAGCCAAAAACTGCGTTTCTAACTCACTACCTCCAAATTGGAAAATACGTAATCCAAAGGAGTTGAAGGCTATTTTACTATTTGATTGTAATTATGATTTCAAAAATTAAAAGAAATTTTTTTTTTGTTCAAAAAAAGAAAGTTCAGAACTGACCGCAAAATTCCTTGCAGAATGTTGAGCAACTTTAAAAAAGGGCAAGTCAAGATATTGGACCAAATCAGATTGCAACAGTAAATAGAAGGACCTGTGCTAAAAAATCAGAAAGTAAAATTGCAGAACATACCTCATGTGAAAGATGTAGAACCCGAGTCTAGTGATCCCTGACCTTAATGCTTGCTCAGCAAAGTGATCGAAAGTACAACACCACATGCACGAGTAAGATCATACACAAACTAAACATCTAGTGAAACCGCCTCGTCACATCATCCAGAGAAATAAAAGTTATTAGGGGCAAGCTGCATTACTGAATACAAATATGAAAATTAAAAAGAAAAACTCTCATAAGCAACAAGAAACACCGTGTATAAGGGCCCTCCTTATGGAAATACATCAAGAAGTCCACTGAAGCCATATATCAAGAGACAGGTGCAACTCACTGACACAAGAAGTTTCTAACAATTGGTAACGTTCAACACAAATTCCATAATTTGAAGACATTATAATGAAAAATCCCTCTAAGTTGAATCAATTTATTTTCTCAGTTTACAGTAAGAAAAACAACATAAATGTGCTGAGGACCAAGTGATACCATCCAATAAACAGAGTCTACTTACATCAAAAACTAGACTTAGGAATAAGTACTTGAGCACAATTCGACGCATATGCATTACCAAAGTGAAGTAGAGCTGGATCCAAAATGCATCTCCTGTCTTCAACAGTCCAACTGACATCTCAAGATTATATTATAAATGACATAAAAGTTTTCCCGCACTTTTAGACTAGCGGAGATGTTTGTATATCAACAAATCCCTGAGTAGGTTTCCATAACTGCAGCAGCTGTAGTTGATTTCTAATTAAACCGTAGAATAGGGTAGAATTTGATAGACAGATGCTTAATTTTGGTGAGGTTAAGATTGGTGTTTCTCTCGGAGAATTTGTAATACTCTCCTGGTGTTGATGTCTCATCACTTCCAATTGAAAATCTGAAGCTTTTGGCATTGTGTTGTAAGCTGAAGTTGCTGTTAATATATCAAATGAGGATACAAAGGAAAATCGTTGGGTTAGGAAGAGGAAGTGGGATTTTTATGGCTGCAATAGATGCTCAAGCCAGTGTACTCCACACAAAAAAGAAGAATTAATGCCTGTCATCACATTACTGCAACATGAACCACCTATGACGAAGTTTCCAGCCCAAAGCTCTAGATAATACACCCAAAGATCCCTTAGCCATCAACCTCATTAGGGTTTCCTCCCTGCAAAAACATCTCAAGATATGACCTTTCTAGGCTCGGGATACTAGCAAGCCATTGACTGCTCGCATCCATATACTTGAGCACATAAATAATATGGTAACTTTAACTAATGCAGTCACTGAAGAGTGATTTCTGCAAAACACGCACGGGTAAGAGGTGTATAGCAGCACTACATTTCTTTCTACAGCAATAAAGTTGCTAAGGGAACAGCATAAGCCCCTGGATGTCAACCATTTCAGAACCAGCCTGCATCAATTCTGGATTTTCTTTAAATAGCTTATCTACGCATAACTTGTATGCATCAAATAAGCCTACCAATTTCCAATTCAAGGCATTATTTCTCGTTTTAGACCAACCAGATCCTCTTTATTATTGTAGACAAATAACTTTTGAAAAAAGGTTTCAGCATCTGCTTGTGAATGCACCGTATTGCAATATAGAGAAGCTATATTAGAGGCAGCATCACATTTGTTTATATATCCATTTCTGATATCCTTTACCTTGAGCACCTCTTGCCAGGATACTGAGGGGAATATCCATCATGAACTTGAGTCTGCTTAGTTTTGTCTTTCACCAGCATAGTAATTCGATCCATTTCATTAAATCCACCAAACTACAACACCACATTGTAACCTACTCCAAACTTAGAATTGTTCTCTGCGTGTAATCCAGAAACTTCAGTTCTCATGACATTAGTAACCATACCTTCATTGAAGACCTGTCCTTTTTTGCCAAATCTGACAACCTAAAAACCGTTCCCAACATTTTCATGCAGAGCTACCTGATCCTTGGGTATCAACGTGAACCTCTATGCCTTCTGGCCCCCCTTAATTCTTTCAACATTTCCTTTCCCAATTCCCTCGCAACAACTCAATCAGCATATGCACATTCCAGATGTTCTGATGTGGCAAACCACTTTTGAGTTATGTTTCTGTGTGTAACTACTATTCCCAGCAAAAGAGTTGTCATCTTTTCAAGTTCAACGGAAAGAAAGGAAGCCCGGTCCCCTATCCTTGACAATATTCAAAATAAAAATGTCAGGCCAATCACAAAGAACATGTCAATAAGTCAGAAAACAAGATCAGAGAGAATATACATCATGCTGAGTGAAATTCGCAATAACTAGTCACTAGCAAGTACAAGAATATATTGCTTGCTTAGAAACCATGCAACATCCATATAATATACACCTAATTACTTTCTTCCCTTCCCATATGCCTCACATTCAGATTATTGATTTTGTAATAAGACTGACTATAACACCAGTTCACTTTTGAGTCACTCTCACATGAAACCCCAGAAGAGTCCTTGAACAATATAATCTGATAGGCAGAAGATGTGACAAAATTATGAAATGCCACAATCAAAGGAAAATTTATATATTGCTAGGAAACAAATAATATGACATTTATTTCGGTAATCAAAGGAGAGAAAGGTAAAACTAAAAGACGTAAGGAATGATATGCATGTACAAACACATATATGGCACGTGCTATCAGTGCTACATTTTCCATATTTGGTGCTGGATTAGTACCACAGTCCTTTCACATTTTTGGTACCAAGAGCAATACCAGAAACTGAGAGCAGCTCCAAAACTTACAAATACCAAGCCCCAATAAATGAATACACAAGCAGTAAATGAATGTAGTTATGCATTAAAGGACTATACTAATTTCATAACCCATGTAAATCAAAAGGAGTGGTAGTTCAAACCCGAATAATAAGTAACCAACATCTTGAAGTTGCATGCAATTTAGAATTCCCATTGTGGACTCCATTAAATGGATAACTCTGTTTTAAAGCTCCCAACTCTTACAAAATTACAATATAATACTCCAAAGTCAAAATGGATAAATAGTTGTCATTAGCATTACATTCAAATAAGCAAAAATAGAATGTCAAAAATGTTTGTTCAAAAGACACAAAAATGCTTTCTTATTTACATGGACAAGTCAATCATCAATAATTCATTCTAGGCAATGGATTGTGCAAATAGGCAATATATTCTACCCTACAAATATAAATAAGCCTCCTTCAATAAGAGGGATCATCAAACAAAAAATAGGTGACAAACAACCAAATAATAAGGCAACAAGCACAACAAACAGGCAGTTCACTCTCAACAACAATAGTGCACCTACAGAAACATGCATCTCAAGTAGTAAGGGGATTCTTATCTTTAAGATTTTAAAGTGTACCTGAAACATCACCATCACCAAATGTACAAGGCAATAGTGGTCCCACAATGGAATCCCTGATAAGCACCAAATAGCTGATACGTCGTTGAAGGAAGAAACTTCAGATGACATACCCATGGAAATCATTGATGGCATGGCAAAGAAATGATTGCCTATCCAAGAGAAAGAAACTGAAATAAATGATTGCCTATCCAAGAAAACCAATATCTCTCCAAAGTTGAACAGCTGAAAATTCATAGCCACTAGATGCAAATCTGCAACATGGTTTTGTACGTAGTGAACATGGTTCAAGGTGACAGTATCAGCCTTGACTTGATTTAGCATGTGGATCATCTTCTATCACATCTCTTTGCTTTTTTTTTTTTTTTGCATGCTTTTGTTGTCGTTGGGTTCTATAACTTCTGTGGGATAATTGTGGGTTGAATCGATTCGAGTCAGTTGATTCACCCAAATTGGGCCGAGACAAAACCGATTCAAACTCGACTCGGGATTTTGCTATAATGAACGGGTATCGGTATCGTATTGGTAATGGCAAAGGCAACCGAGTTATATCGGTGAAATAACATTAAGTCAAAAAATTCTGGGGCTAAAATCTAGTACAAAAGCTACCTTATTCTAGAAATAACATTCTTAAGGCACTTTGTTATATTCATAGTTATTAGTATTGTACAATATGTGATACGTATCGTATGATGCGTCACGATACACTTGAAAAACAATATGTATCGTGTCTCTGTATCTTTTTTGCACCGTATCGTACGATACACGATACGATACGTACGATACGATACATCCGATACATGACAATTTTCTTTTTTTATTTTCTTTTTTTGATTTTTTGGGGTTGAGATGACATTATTTTACTCTATGACTTATTTTTAAATCTCTAACCTGTGAAATAACGTCATTTTAATGTTATGGTTTAAAAATAAAATAAAATAAAGTCTCTTGCTAATGTTGTTCAATTGAATTCAAAATTCCTGATTAATATTAAGGTTGTTCAAGCAATTGATTTTAAAAGTTTAAATTAGAGATCTTTGGATTTTGACATTATTCAAGTATGTTGGGAACTTGAATAATTTGTGGAATATAAATGAAATGTTATATTATTATGAGTTTATGACCTTTTTACAAAAGTGTGTATATATATATATATAATAATTATTTAAAAATTAAAATTACGCATTTCTTACGATACATGATACGATACGATACACTTTTTTTGAAAAACAATACGTCTTCCGATACGCGATTTGACAATTATGGTTATATTGGACATTTTAAATGGACGTATTAAATTTGACAGAAATGAAATAATCAACTTCAATTGGATTGGGAAGTCAAATAAACAGAAATCTTGCAATTGACATAATGTGTAATTTCTATCAAATAAACAAAAAAATTAGACTAGCATTTCTTCTTTTTAATATTTGCCAAATATTTTTTAGTGATTCTAGTCTTTTGGCATTAAAAGTTGTTTTGTTAGAATTAATATTTATTCCTAGAGTTACTTTTTTTTTTGTCATTTGTAATTTTTTCTATTTGATTTCTAATTGTACGTGTTCTATTAGTAAATTATATTATTTTATAAAAAATTTCATTGAAAGAATCTACATAGATGTCTTTCGGTGTATCATTAATATTTCCCATATCAATATACAACTTTTTCTTGAATCAACAAAAAAAGTGATTGAGCAATGATAACCATTTGATTAAGGGTGCGAAGTGCAAAAATAACTGCTCAAAAGGAGTAGAAGGTTCTGGCGTACAAATATCAACACTATCCACTTGAAGATCTAAAACCAGACACACGGTACTATTTCCAATGCAAGAAACACTATCAAGCAATTCATTAAAGAGGGCAATTATTCAACTCACTATAAGGTTCTCCATTTTCTTTTCTCCCTGGGGAAGTTCAAAACGTGGTGCATATCAACATCAACAACTAATTATAAAATAATTAAATGACGGTTAAAATAGCATTAGTTTTAGGTTTGCCGGTAAAGAGGTACACGTGGTTTGGAATTTGAAGCCTTGCATGTATAGAAAACAGATTACTTAAATGCATGCAGTCGTGAAAGAGAAAGATGCGACAGTTGGAAACCAGAAGTACTCAAAACATACCCTTACTTTTCTAGGGGTAAATTATGTTAAAGAGCAAACCCTCTTCAATGACAAATGGGCCAAGACCCAAAAAAAAGAAGTAAATAAACAGTTTTTATAAAAATGCGAGTTTTCAAGTGTGCCATAAAGAATCTTCAACCGTGAAACCCAATAAAATTCAGAATTGAAGAATAAGCACAAAGGCATAACTACATTGTATTTCTGAACCTACTAGACAAAACAAGAAATGTAGGCAAAAAAATAGGTCTAAATCATCCCAAGACTTCATTAGTTAACAATTAGCAAAATTATAACCCATACATTGCCGTTGAAGGTGAACTGACTAAAATTTTGGTGTTTTGAAGTGCAGAGTTAATCAGATGCTAAGTGCTGATAGTTCCTTGATTTTATTATCATAAAGAAGAAAGTTCTTAAATGGCTGTCTAAATGCTGATAGTTCTCTTTAATGTCACAAAACTCAAACTTCCTATATTGAGTGTAACTTTAAAGATTCATACCCTATCGCCCAAAATTGGCATAAATCAAAGAAGACAGCAAATGAAATTGGGATTGAATCAAAGCAATAGGAAAATAAAACCCGTAAACCATAGCTAATTTCTCAGATACCTGAAGGAAAAGCAGAAGCATGTGATCTTTCGTTTCCCCGTTTTCACGCGGAAAAATCCTTGAACTTGCGATGCCGATCCGCTTGGTTGACTATCAACACTCCATCGCAAAATGGGCTGCCAACTGCACACACACGAGACACATATCATGACACCACCCAGTAAAACTCATGCAAACACCCAAGAGATTGTTGAACCAACAAGAAAAACGTACCAAACTATTTTGGTAAATCGTTGAACCGACTTCTGATCGTTGCCTATGGCATACTTTGGATTGTCATCACCATCGCCGTTGTCTTCGTCTGCTTCACCGGCAAGCGTTACACTCACGGCGGCTACCATCTGCGAAGTCATCCCACTTTAGTTCATTCAGGGAGCACGAGTCCACTATATAGCCGTCCTTGTTTAGGGTTTGAGTACTATCCATTTTTCATGAGTTCACGTTGGCTCCCCTGAGTTTATAGAAATTATAAAGACGTCCCCAAATACTTTTTTGGATGTTAATTAATTTTTTGGCTCTCCAAACCCTACCATGCATTTATTCTTTCATTTTCTCTGACCACATGAAATAATACCACACATCATATAAAGAAAACTTATGAATAACAATATTAATATTATTGCATTGCTTTTAGGTAGAACTTCAATTTATATTGATTAGTTAGTGTACACGTGCGTTACACGTTGACCTATTTTTTATAATAATCAAACAACTATAGTGACAAATGTAATGATGAATCCAAGTATTAAATTATCTCCGCCGGTAATTATACGTCTATATCATTCAAATTTGCTCGCTCAAGTAGATCAAAATGTAAACAAAATAAATTAATGGGAACAACTTTTTTCATGTAGAANCCACACATCATATAAAGAAAACTTATGAATAACAATATTAATATTATTGCATTGCTCTTAGGTAGAACTTCAATTTATGTTGATTAGTTAGTGTACACGTGCGTTACACGTTGACCTATTTTTTGTAATAATCAAACAACTATACTAACAATTGTAATGATGAATCCAAGTATTAAATTATCTCCACCGATAATTATACGTTATATATCATTCAAATTTGCTCGCTCAAGTAGATCAAAATGTAAACAAAATAAATTAATGGGAACAACTTTTTTCATGTAGAAATATGAATATCAAGTACAACCTATCACTGAGAAATCTCTTCTAAGATTTGTGTTGCTATGTAGAGTGCTGCCACTTATATTCAAAAAACACACACACACATGTAGCAAAATCAATCTTCAAAGCCAACAAAGGTACATACATCCCCTTCGGCTATACATATTGTATTGCTTCTCTTTTCTTCCCAACAACACACTTTTTGTTCTTTGATTTTTATCTTTATTTTTTTCTCTCATCAACACACTTTTTGATCTCTGTTTTCTTCCCAGAAACACACTTCTTGTCCAATTAGACTTCCCCATTTGATTTTGTCCATCACCTAACTCCCNGCTGCCACTTATATTCAAAAAACACACACACACATGTAGCAAAATCAATCTTCAAATCCAACAAAGGTACATACATCCCCTTCGGCTATACATATTGTATTGCTTCTCTTTTCTTCCCAACAACACACTTTTTGATCTCTGTTTTCTTCCCAGAAACACACTTTTTGTCCAATTAGACTTCCCCATTTGATTTTGTCCATCACCAAACTTTCNATCAACACACTTTTTGATCTCTGTTTTCTTCCCAGAAACACACTTCTTGTCCAATTAGACTTCCCCATTTGATTTTGTCCATCACCTAACTCCCTTGTCCCTGTCCCTTCACTTGTACTAAAGATCTTAATCTAATCTACTTGTAAGTAAGAACAACCAGGGGTGGAGCTAGACTTACCTTTGTGGGGGCAGTTGCCCTGCTCAATTTTTTTGTCCAAACATTTTTTTATATAAATTTTAATATATTTTAAATTTGCCCCCACAAAAATTCATAGACATTTTAATTTACTTAATAATTTCTATCATTAANTTTGCCCCCACAAAAATTCATATACATTTTAATTTACTTAATAATTTTTATCATTAAGATTAAATTTCTTTACTCGATTATTGATTATTTAATTGAATCTCTCAACATGTGTTCAAGAAATTTTGGAACTTTTCGTTATTTCCCCTATATAAAGCCTCTTACTCTCATCTTTGTAAATTTGATACATTGACTGATAATATTATTATGTAATATTTTTTATAATATAAAAATTAGCCAATAAGATGGTAAAGATAAAGTATACGTTGCACATTTATGATTTGAATGTCAAGGATTCAAGCCGCAAAAAAAACTCTCTCACATGTAAGATAAGAATACGTACATCTTACTCCAAACCTTGCAATAGCAGAAGCCACACATTGGGTCACCTCGTTTAATTTATTATTACTTCAAAATTTTAAATTTTACTTTTGTTAAAAAAATGTTACTAACATATAATTGAAAGGCCTAATTTGATAATATAATGCATTGTTATTGTTGAATTAGCATAGGGTATCAACATTAAATGTATTTTGTTTATTAATCCAACGGTAATAATACATTAGTTTTTCCAACTTAGTACAAATAGTATTGTTGTTGCTAAAATTTTTGCCTTCACTAACCAAAATTTCTGGCTCCACCCCCGAGAACAACCCAATATATTTGACCTTATATGTACCCATTTTTTTGTTTACACAATGGACTTTACATACCTTTTATGGTCATCATGTTTTGTCCATATAACATTCTTCTAATTTACACCTGATCATATTAGATATTCATAGTATATATGTCTAGACATTGGCATCTCATGTTAATCTTTACGCTAACTACCGCAAATCAAACCACGACGTTGGCATATTTGTCTTCAAATTGTGTACCTCTTAAAATGCAGGACATATAGATAATTTAAGCCAACGGATCAAGAGGTTGTTCAATTGATGGGACATTTCCGAAATACTCCAAGATGAAGACACGTGTCTTCGGTGCAGTTGATGAGACAGTTCCGGAATACTCCAAGATGAAGACACGTGTCCTCGGTATCACTGATCCTTGTTATCGAGATCACGTACCCATCGGGTCACAAGTCCCCTCTACCCCGAGGTACTTATCATAGATCGAGTGGCATCCAGTACGCTTTTATGTACCGACACATACCCTCGGTCTGATATGGTACATCGGTCGCTAGGTCTCCCCTCTCGGATTCAAGATGTACCTATTCCTCGGTTTCCGAGGTATTCCTCTTCCTCGGCTTCGATATGTACCTCTTCCTTGGTTCTGAGATGTACCTATTCCTCAGTACCGAGATGTACCCCCTCTCATCCAGGATGAAGTTCTCTACNTTGATAATATAATGCATTGTTATTGTTGAATTAGCATAGGGTATCAACATTAAATGTATTTTGTTTATTAATCCAACGGTAATAATACATTAGTTTTTCCAACTTAGTACAAATAGTATTGTTGTTGCTAAAATTTTTGCCTTCACTAACCAAAATTTCTGGCTCCACCCCCGAGAACAACCCAATATATTTGACCTTATATGTACCCATTTTTTTTTTTACACAATGGACTTTACATACCTTTTATGGTCATCATGTTTTGTCCATATAACATTCTTCTAATTTACACCTGATCATATTAGATATTCATAGTATATATGTCTAGACATTGGCATCTCATGTTAATCTTTACGCTAACTACCGCAAATCAAACCACGACGTTGGCATATTTGTCTTCAAATTGTGTACCTCTTAAAATGCAGGACATATAGATAATTTAAGCCAACGGATCAAGAGGTTGTTCAATTGATGGGACATTTCCGAAATACTCCAAGATGAAGACACGTGTCTTCGGTGCAGTTGATGAGACAGTTCCGGAATACTCCAAGATGAAGACACGTGTCCTCGGTATCACTGATCCTTGTTATCGAGATCACGTACCCATCGGGTCACAAGTCCCCTCTACCCCGAGGTACTTATCATAGATCGAGTGGCATCCAGTACGCTTTTATGTACCGACACATACCCTCGGTCTGATATGGTACATCGGTCGCTAGGTCTCCCCTCTCGGATTCAAGATGTACCTATTCCTCGGTTTCCGAGGTATTCCTCTTCCTCGGCTTCGATATGTACCTCTTCCTTGGTTCTGAGATGTACCTATTCCTCAGTACCGAGATGTACCCCCTCTCATCCAGGATGAAGTTCTCTACTCCAGCAGAGGCTAGGCTAGGTTAGCTATCATGACCTCGTCTTACACAATTGGTGTCAGACGGTACAGGAAGGCAGGGGCCACAGCCAATGAGGAATGGACGCGTGGCATATTGTGTCACATCCAGAGACAGAAAGACCGCATGACCTTGCTGACACGCGACTTGGGAAAACAAACATTTAATTACACCATTCCCTTGATGAGATTGCATTCAATGCGGTAAGGCTCAGAAGTGAAAGGCAATAAATGTCTTTAAGGCTGGGCATTTATTGTGTCCTCCCCGAGAGGAGCTCATTGAACAGTCGGTAGCCCGATGACACAGTATTGATTGCTCAGGATCCCGAGCAGTTAAAAGAAAAGACATTCCTCATCAGAATCAGTGCGCACACTGCCTGTATCTAATGATCACCTACTGACTACACTGACAGCAATCATGTGTTTTTAAGTTATAAATACTCCTCGCAAAAGGCAAGATAGTATGCAACAAAAAACCTTTGCTATAATACATACTCAGTGTTTTCTTCTTCCTCTCTCTCTTAAAGACTGACTTGATCGTCGGAGGGGATACGCCGAAAAACACTCTGGCGCCCTTCTAACTTGTTCTTCTTTGTTCTAGGAACCTTTTTNTCTCTCAAAAACTGACTTGATCGTCGGAGGGGATACGCCGAAAAACACTCTGGCGCCCTTCTAACTTGTTCTTCTTTGTTCTAGGAACCTTTTTTCAGCCTTACTGGATCGTTCCTTTTATCCACGAGGGTCTCCTATTACCGTTTCAGGTTACCACAGGATCTCACAGGCTGTTCCAAGCAACATGGTTGACCACTTCACTAATTCACTCGAGTTCACTAAGGGAGAGATCTGTTCTCATTTTTATATTGTGCAAAATCTAGCACGCACAATCTGGCGCCGTCTGTGAAAAACGACTAGTTTTCCTAGTTTTTTCTCTATAAAGAACAGTAACCATGGTGAACACTTGACAAAAAAGGAAAGGTCCCCACCAAAGAAGTCTCGAATTACAAACTCCCTGTCACCACGGAGGTAGGGATCACACTGATGGGAATAAAAATGCCTCTACTCAGTCAAGAGGGGTTACCCCTCAAACCAGTATGGGAATCAGGTCAGGAGGATCAGCCCCCTGGCTC